TGCCCCCCCCCCAAATTGCAATGTTGGGCAAACACAGTGCCCAGGTTTGTCCCTGACCTAGTTAAGTATAAATGCTGACCTTTTCTTACCAGGTTGTGTGAACCAAGCCACCACATGAAGTCACAAAATGGTTTATTGGTTTGGAAATTGCATGTTACATAAATACAGCCATTTCTTAACGTAAGTTTAGGATTGAGCGTTTGTGCGAACCCATCCAGTTTGTGGTCTCTGAATTTATTGCCGATACTGCTAAGGTTAGAAAATGGGGAGAACAAAAATGATCTCAGTACCCTCTTCCCTTGTCTCAGGGGCACTGGGGGAGAGAGACTTCTTCTCTCGAAGGAGGGGCCCTCCAGTGCCACGCCAGTTATGAAAAACAGCTTCTGCGAACAAGTATCTGCAACCAGGCAAGGAAAAATCCCCTAGCATTATGCTCAAAAATGTGGCGTTCGAGTTCTTCCCCACCTGCCCTGGAATAGCCCGTCCACCCCTCCTTTTCATGCCCTCTATGAGCCCAAAAGGGCCCCTGACCCCTTCTCCCCATCCAATTTCTGCCCTAGCATCTTCGATCAACTGGGGAGCCAGGCTGGAGCGGAGGTGGGGCCAGGCGGCCAGTGGGCATGGGCGAGCAGCAGGGGGCAGAGTCATTCCCCCCAGAGAAGTTCCCTGCAGCTGGGGCATTCCAAGAACGGGGTCTGAACGTAGCCCAGATGACCCCAGTCAGGAGCAGAGTTTATCCGGTGCCGTTCCATGTGACGGGGACAAAGCTGCCCCTGAGACCCACCCCAAACAGGAGCATCTTCCCCTCCCCACGAGATCCAAGTTCTTTTGCAGCAAATCGGGCATCGTCCGGCCACCCCAGAACTCCCAAGAGGTTTGGGCATCGGGAGAACATCCAGAGGGATGCTCTGACCTTCGCCATTCTGGACCCTGTTCCAAGGGGCAGCACTTCAGCTCTTCAGCGGCTTTAACCCTTTTTACATCTCTTGACCCTGATCAGATTTTAATTTTTTATTTCTTTTTGCCGTCTCGCAGCAAGTTGCTTCCTCCCCCCTGCTGTTTTCAAAAGCTGGCTTCTCCTTTCCAGTGGATCTGGGCCTCTTCCTCCTCTTCTCCTCCTTCCCCCTCTTCCTCTTCTTCTTCCGCTCTCTGCTTATAATCCTTAAGTCCTCTTGCCAACCGGAGCAAAACAATTAAAAAAGAATCCAAGGGTTCCAACCCACCAAAACCATAAATTTACAAAATAAAATAATAATAACAATAATAATAACAATACGTTGCTTTTTTAAAAAAAAAGAAAAAGGCAAAAAAGAACCTTCTTTTTTAATAATAAAAAAAAAAGGCACGAGGTTTTAGCAGAGGGGGAAAAGAAGTCTGCTTCCTCGCAGTCCTGACCCATCTTCCCCGTGTGGATCTTTCAGACATTCCAACCTGACCCGAATGGCTTTCCCAAGTCCACCAGTCCTTGTCCTCAGCTACACCGGCACGATTTGACAATCATGTTGGACAGCTGTTCTACTTTGGCTTGCCGACCCACGTAGTAAAGGATGCCCAGCGGCTGAAGCTCGTCCGGGACGCAGCAGGGTGCGGCTGAGGCCGAGGGATTGTGCTGGTTATACAGGGCGAGGACCTATCCCAAGGAGACAAGAACCGTCCGCTTAGAGATGTGAGATTTTGGAGGCTCCCCAGGCCTGGGATACATAGCCCCCCCGATCCTTTTCTGCCCCCCGCAGACCCCGCTCGGAAGGCACCCCCGAATTCTGGCAGCCTTCAGGGTTGCCATCAGAAAGGAGAGAGGGAGCTGAGTTCTCTCTTTACAAAACCACGAAAGACCCCCATCTTCCCTCAGCCAAGGGACACCCCAGTTTTGCCCATCCATGGGACATGTCCCATCGCCTTGCAAACGGATGCTTTTGCCCTCCAAACGAAGCCTTCTCCTGGCCCAGGCCTGGGCCACCCAGAGATTTCTACCCTGCCCTGCTGAACCTAACTGGGAGGAGACAGGCCATCAATCCTGGCTGGTCGAATGCCAGTCATTTGCTCAGCCTTCCGCTATTGCCTTCCTCGAAGGGAGGCGCCAGGCTGCAAACCAACCGCAGTGTGGCTGGGTGCCCTGTTTTCATCAGAAGTCAGGAAATTATCGTTCTTTATCAAGGCAACTGAAGTGGGAAAACATCAGGGTGTGGTCAGAAAAGTCCAGATGTGTATAAAAGCCAGCAAGGGTTTTGATGGCACCGTCATGCCCCCCGATCTTGACTTTTTTGACCACACTGTGCAGACACCCCCGGGGGAAACAAGCAAAGGTCTATCCCTTACCTTGCTATACTGAGTGTCCGAGCTCCAGAGGTAGGGGCAAGGGCCCATACAGAAATTGGCATAGTAGCCTTTGGGTTCATGGATCCACTTCCATTTCAAATCTTTCCGGAAGTCAATGTACAGACGCCGAACGCAGCAGTTCTTCTCTTCTGGTGATCTAGAGAGAAGAACCCCAAAATTGCCCTTGAGTCCTCTGGCTCTGAATTTTGGGACCTCCAATTCCCCTTTTACAGATCGAGCAGAAATCTGATTCAGCTGATTCACCTTCAATTTCCTTCCCCACCTGCTGTTTTCTTAAATGAAATGTTACTAAACCTCCTATTCCCGCAAAGGAGACCAACCATAATTAGCACTGTACAGGGTAAATGCTCAAAATTCCTTCCTACGTACCATTAACCATCTAATGGAAGAGTGGCTAATTAAGATGTGAAAGTATGTCCAAAATAACTTTGTATTTCTAAAGTAAATCTGGCAGAGAATTTAACTCAAGCTGGAAACCATTTCTGGATTCTAATTCTATATATGGGCTTGTACCACATCTGAAATGTGGGTTTCTCGTAACATAGCCTTACTATTGTACCTCTAAAGCAGCGTTTTTCAAACTTGGTCACTTTAAGAGGTGTGGACTTCAACTCCCAGAATTCCCCAGCCAGCATGGCTGGCTGGGGAAT